GAGATGTTACCATTCAGACTCCTTTATAAGAAAGGATTGTACTCACAGACTTCAGAGATGTTACCATTCAGACTCCTTTATAAGAAAGGATTGTACTCACAGACTTCAGAGATGTTACCATTCAGACTCCTTTATAAGAAAGGTTTGTACTCTTAGGATTCAGAGATGTTACCATTCAGATTCATTTATAAGAAAGGTTTGTACTCTTAGGATTCAGTGATGTTACCATTCAGACTCCTTTATAAGAAAGGTTTGTACTCACAGACTTCAGAGATGTTACCATTCAGACTCCTTTATAAAAAAGGTTTGTACTCACAGACTTCAGAGATGTAACCATTCAGATTCATTTATAAGAAAGGTTTGTACTCACAGACTTCAGAGATGTTATCATTCAGACTCCTTTATAAGAAAGGTTTGTACTCTTAGGATTCAGAGATGTTACCATTCAGACTCCTTTATAAGAAAGGTTTGTTCTCTTAGGATTCATAGGTGTTATCATTCACACTCCTTTATAAGAAAGGATTGTACTCTTAGGATTCAGAGATGTTACCATTCAGATTCATTTATAAGAAAGGTTTGTACTCTTAGGATTCAGTGATGTTACCATTCAGACTCCTTTATAAAGTTTGTACTCTTAGGATTCAGAGATGTTACCATTCAGATTCATTGATAAGAAAGGTTTGTACTCTTAGGATTCAAAGATGTTACCATTCAGATTCATTTATAAGAAAGGTTTGTACTTTTAGGATTCAGAGATGTTACCATTAAAGCTCCTTTATAAGAAAGGTTTGTACTCTTAGGATTCAGAGGTGTTAACTTTCAGACTCGTTTATAAGAAAGTCCAGCATGTTCAGTAATAAACAGTATAAATGTTATCTACATACATATACATGCAAGAGTCTAACTATAAACAGGTTTACTTATTTTAAAACTTGTGTTCAAAGATAAACAAGGCTTATCTGCATATAGCCGACCCTAATTTTGAACGGGTAGCCTATATGGAATAGGGCTAATGAACAGCACACACACACACAGCCAAGTCTTGAGCAAACTTCCTCTAACCAAATACTGTAGTTTTACTACCACTGTTACAGCTCATCTACTGGTAGAAAGTTCGGAGCGCGTTTACGTAGCAACAGGACGCGGATTCACAGCCCGGGCTCGCTATCCATGCCGGCTCACGTAAGAGAATCATATTCCCAAGGTTCGTGTTATCAGTTCTTTACAGAAACCCTACAGCAGTATGATGTACCGAGTTTTAAGGCGTAAGATAAAATATCTTACCATCCACCATTCTAAGGTCTAGATTATACTAAGGATTATGTATTTTGTGACCAATCTAAAAACATCGAAAAAGTCAAAAAGCTGTTTTTTCGTACTATTTTGTCTGTTTGTTTTCGAGCTCAGTGCCACACAATGAGATATCTGCGTTATACAGATCGCACAAATCGAGCCCCCAATTTCAGTTTTAAGCTTTGAAGTTTCTCGTTTTACAAATCGTCGTCTACTTAATTCAACCAGTTAATTCTTCAGTCTCGTGTCTATAATTTACCAATCAGGTAAACTGTTTAAAATCAATGGACTTAGAGAAATAATGTAAATATGTCGTCGCTTCGCTCGGCAGAGTTGAGTAGAAAAATCATGGTACAGGCATTTATATTGCCATACCGGTACAATATCAAGGAAAACTTTCTGTCTGTCTGTTTATTTGTTTGTTTGGAGTTAAGCACAAAATTACACAAAGGGCTATCTGTGCTCTGCCCACCAGGGGTATCGAAACCCGGTTTCTAGCGTTGTAAATCCGCAGACATACCATTGTGCTACTGGACGTATCTCATCATAACGAGTTGACTGAACCAGACTTAACTTGGTATGCTAGCTTAGTAGTATTTTTGAAAAATAAAAATATTTTATATAATAATCCGTATATCGTCACTGCAGTAGTTACTCACGCCACAACACAATTCTGTAAGTCAAAGATTGTAAATACAATTTTCAGAATTTTTGCTTGTCCCATAATAACCAAAATAAGCAGTAATAAAACATCCAGCTACAATAGGGAACAAATGTCGCGATTGGTATTTGGTCGTATCGTTGTGCGAGACCACAATAAAGGTATTGCTGCTGTTTGAGTTTCCCGCTCTTTTCTGATTCACACCACTTAACTTCCGGTTTATACTGGGATTAGAATAAGCGCTTCTGTCTAAATTAGAGAAGTATTTCATAATTAATATATTTTTAGGATATTTCTTGCTTCTTAATGTAAAATATAGTTTTCTGTAAAAGAAAATTCAAGATTATTACTAAATCTAATGCATTAAATGTATCTTTTTCAGACAGTAGAAATCTTGACCACATCTCTACTGTGAAAGGGGCTGCTTTAAATAAAAAGTGACGCAACTGCTTTGCCATTTCTGCCAAGTTTCTCGACCTGACTGCTACACCTCCTACATTCCGATCCACTTCCCCTGTCTTACAACAATGTTCTTGGAGAATGGATGCTACTGAAAATCCTCGCTGGATTTTGCTCATTTTTAGCAAATTTGTGTTTCTCGCGTTTTCAGGAAAGAAAAAAAAAAGACGGAAGAGTGCAGTCTTTTAAAACTAACCTGCAAGACTTTTAAATTAAGACATTTAAAGTGCATTAAAAGAGCTTCATAAACAAAGTCCATTATGGACTGAGAGTTAACTTTCACTAGTAGAATTTCACGGGATCTGTCGGGTTTCAAGGGCAATATGCCTCTCAAAAAATTAATCAAATTGCACATATACTTAATTTTAAGCAAGAACCAGGACGTATTTTTGATATATTCAGGTAAATAAGATTGTAACAAAATGAGTTTGGATGTTTTCTATATTTGCATTGCTTGAAACCATACCATAGCTGTACAAAACAAACTACGTCGACTTGTTACATGTAGAGGTCGCTGCTCACACCGTCCAACATCAATCTGAGAAAACACGTTATACTAATATATCCCAAAGTAGTCTTAATCGGAACATGACTCCAGCAATTTGAACATATGTAGCAATAGAACTTATGTTATTAATTTGAGAATCAAGTAACTACCGTTATCACATACGTTACGTTTAAAACTAATGTTATTTTACTGTTAACAAACTTCACAAGCCACATAAACAGTGGCAGTCCTGTGGACTTGATAACCTGTTTATATAGATGCTGTAAATGTTAGTCATTTGAACTTTACAACCAGTTTATATAAAAACTGTATTGTTTGTCATTTGGACTTTACAACCTATTATATAGACGTGGTAACTGTTAGTCATTTGAACTTTACAATCAGTTTATATAAAAACTGCATTGTTTGTCATTTGTACTTTAGAACCAGTTTATATAAAAACTGTATTGTTCGTCATTTGGATTTTACAACCTGTTTACATAACTTTCATTGTTTGTCATTTGTACTTTACAACCAGTTTATATAAAAACTGTATTGTTTGTCATTTGGACTTTACAACCTATTATATAGACGTGGTAACTGTTAGTCATTTGAACTTTACAACCAGTTTATATAAAAACTGTATTGTTTGTCATTTGTACTTTACAACCTGTTTACATAAACTTTCATTGTTTGTCATTTGGACTTTACAACCTGTTTACATAAACTTTCATTGTTCGTCATTTGAACTTTACAACCAGTTTATATAAAAACTGCACTGTTTGTTATTTGGACTTTACAACCTGTTTATATAAAAGTTGTCACTGTTACTCATTTGCATTTTACAATCTGTTTACATAAACTTTCATTGTTTGTCATTTGGACTTTACAACCTGTTTATATAAATGTTGTCACTGTTAGTCATTTGGACTTTACACTTACAATCTGTTTACGTAAACTTTCCCTGTTTGTCATTTGGACTTTACAATCTGTTTACGTAAACTTTTCCCGTTTGTCATTTCGACATTACAACCTGTTTATATAAATGTTATCACTGTCAGACATTTAGACTTTACAACCTGTTTATATAAATGTCATCACTGTTAGCCCTATGGACTTTACAGCCTGTTTATATAAATGTTGTTACTGTTAGGCATTTGGACTTTACAACTTACTGACATAAATGTTGTCATTGTTAGCCCTGTGGACTTTACAACTTGCTTATAAAAATGTTGTCACTGTTAACCCTGTGGACTTTACAACCTGTTTATATAAATGTTGTCATTGTTAGCCCTGTGGACTTTACAACCTGTTTATATAAATGTTGTCATTGTTAGCCCTGTGGACCTTACAACCTGTTTATATAAATGTTGTCATTGTTAGGCATTTGGACTTTACAACTTGCTGACATAAATGTTGTCACTGTTAACCCCGTGGACTTTACAACCTGTTTATATAAATGTTGTCACTGTTAGTCATTTGGACTTTACAGCCAATTTATATAAACGCTGTCATTGTTAGTTATTTGGACTTTACAGACTACTTTAATAAACGCTGTAACTGTTAGTTATTCGGATTATATAAATTAGCAGTATATTGGAATACCAGACACGATATATTCTTGTTTAATCTCGTCTTTAATTACAGTTCACTTAAAACGCACACACCGGCCGCCATCTTGGAATCATTAATCAGTTAATTAATAAACATGGTTGCTATGTTACTATCACTCATGCGTCAACTCCTTGGAAACGCCCGAATAAATTAGTCAAACTGTAAGATGAATGAAACTTGGTCACAGTTAGCAGCACATATTTTAAACTCGTTTAATAATATCATATTTTTCTGTAAATTTACAAGCAGAATGATATGCAAGTAATGGTATAGATACGTGTATGGACACACACTCACAGACAAACATGATCATACATATAATTAAACGACATAAAATTCAAAATACAAGTAAGTCAGACTTAGAGTTTCAAGATATCTGTTTTGAGTTCTCGTGAACATACGTCATCAGAAACTTGCCCAGGGTAGCTTGATAACGCTATTTGGAATTTTACAAAAGACGTTTCTACTGTGGAGGTGCTAACTTACTTGATATAAAGCCTCGGTGAAAGCCGCTGATATTAGCAAGGAACACTTGTTGTAAATTTAAAAACACACAAAAACATTACAGGAAAGCAACTGGCGTTGTGATGCAGCAACGACTATCCCGTCAGTGCGCACTAACCTGTACAGCTGGCAGGTCGGGAATATTAGCATCGCTGGGCAATACACTGCGCACCAGGGGGCAGCAGCTACTCATAACACCGGCGCATTGCAGGGCAACCGACCTTCACAGAGGCGTCACGCGAAAGGCTCGACTTTACACGTGCACGGATAACTAGTGCAATTCGTCTTTATAGGTCCATATCCACTGGGCAGCCTGTTCTTAAAGTTGACAGCCCGGATGTAGAAACGGAAAGGGCAAGACTTATACAGTATCGAGAGTTTAAAAATAGTCAAATTATTTGTTAGTTTGAAGTTCCGCGGAATTAGGTTCAGAAAACCCGGCAATAACACAGGAAACAGCAACCAAAAACAGCCAACAGCTATGTTTGTGGTTTCTTAATATGTAACGAAAATACAGAAAGAGAAACTGACCTCCTGGAGCGTTTTGCAGGTCACGTGTAACCTATAAATATCTCAGAGGCACGATGTTTGGCTATCGTTCACAATACAGGGGCAAGGAAAAATAAACTAATTAGCACATACAATTACAAAATACCTTATTCTTCCCTTCCTATGTAAACTACCAATTAATGTTTATTCTTAGATGCAAACCTACACAATGGTCTATCTACGATGCGAATTAATTAACAAAATACTTAATTTTTGTCTTCGTATATATCATTACTGACAAGTTAGAGATTTAATGTACAAAACAGTATATAGATATCATTACTGATAAGTTAGTGATTTAATGTACAAGATGGTATATGTCAGTACTGACAAGTTAGTGATTTAATGTACAAAACAGTATATATATATCATTATTGACAAGTCAGCAACTTAATGTACAAAACAGTATATATATCATTATTGACAAGTCAGCGATGTTTTGTACATTAAATCGCTGACTTGTCAATAATGATATATATACTGTTTTGTACATTAAACCTCTAACTTGTCAGTACTGACATATACCATCTTGTACATTAAATCACTAACTTATCAGTAATGATATCTATATACTGTTTTGTACATTAAATCTTGTACATTAAATCACTAACTTATCAGTAATGATATATACCGGTATATATCATTACTGACAAGTTAGTGATTTAATGTACAAAACAGTATATATATCATTATTGACAATTTAGTGATTTAATGTACAAGACGGTATATATCATTACTGACAAGTTAGTGATTTAATGTACAAGATGGTATATATCATTACTGACAAGTTAGTGATTTAATGTACAAGACGGTATATGTCAGTACTGACAAGTGAGAGATTTAATGTACAAAACAGTATATATATATCATTATTGACAATTTAGTGATTTAATGTACAAGACGGTATATATCATTACTGACAAGTTAGTGATTTCATGAAAATATCTAGACGTATATGCTAAGGAATAGACAGTGTTACTACACGGTGAAGTTGCTATATACAGAAGACGTATGACTAAAAGTGAGTGAAGTGTTAAAGTTCGAAACACCGGAAACATCGATACCGTCACTGCTATATTTCATAAGGTAAATGTATAACACAAACGATCTTATTGGTATCATGACTAGATTATCGATCATAAATAATCTAATCAACTTCTTTAACCCAGCACTTGTGAGAGAAGTATCTAGTCACGTGGTTAACTGATTTGTAAAATTAAGTATTTTCAGTCAGTTTTTACATACCACATTCTCTTCATTAATGTGAATGTTATTTCCTGGTACATGTTGTCTAATGATCTTATTTAGTAACCTAACACTTTTTATTGGTACATGTTGTCTAATGATCTGACACTTTCAGATGTTTCCCATGTTTTGATTATAATGCTTTGCGGAAACTATATTAAATAAAGATGTCAAGAGTATCTGAACGCCATCTGTTATTTTTTCACATATTACAGTGGGCAGTCTTTAATGTTCCTGAAATTAGAGGAAAGTAATACTGGCAAGGAATGAACGCTAGATTTTAAAACCTGTTTATTTTTCTATCCAACCCGGCATGGCCATGTGGTTAGGGTTACTCGTAATCTGAGGGTCGCGGTTCGAATCCCCGTCCCACCAAACATTCTCGCCCTTTCAGCCGTGGGGACGTTATAACGTGACGCTCAATCCCACTATTCGTTGGTAAAAGAGTAGCCCAAGAGTTGGCGGTGGGTGGTGATGATTAGCTGCCTTCCCTCTAGTCTTACACTGCTAAATTAGGGACGGCAAATTTCAAAACAAACAATTTTCCTGTCCTTCACAAATCCTTCCAGTTTGGCTATTTTCAGTATCGAACTGGTGTATTATAAAGAACAGATGACTAAAAATAAGCTAACAGAATCGTCGCGCAGGAGAACTCGAGGACCGCTACTCTTATAACGCACCAAATATGTAGAATCACAGTCCGGGTACACTATTCACTATTCACACCCGTCCTTACTGATAAATAAAGTGATTTTAACAAGTATCAGGTTACTAAATAAGATCATTAGACAACATGTACCAGTAACAAGTGTCAGGTTACTAAATAAGATCATTAGACAACATGTACCAGTAACAAGTATCAGGTTACTAAATAAGATCATTAGACAACATGTACCAGTAACAAGTATCAGGTTACTAAATAAGATCATTAGACAACATGTACCAGTAACAAGTATCAGGTTACTGAATAAGA